GTGTCAGACTCTTACTGACTAAAAACCACCCCGTTCCTTCTCCTGCACGTCGAGTCGGAGCCCCGATTACCCGTTAGGTTCTCCGCGACTCCGAATCGGCATCGGCCGTATTGGGCCCCATCTGTGGTGGTCTAATGGCTCTTTGAGGCGCGCGCGGAACGCGACGCGCCGTACGCTCGGGTCTGTTTCTGGTCGGACGGGGCGCCACTCATGCTCGCCGTCCGCAGACCCGTGCTTACGGTGGCCGGAGATTGTCCCGCGATCCCCGACGCCCGGTGTGTCCTTCGCGATGGCTGGGTTGCGAGGAGGCAGTGCTTTGCTGCCTCACGCGTCCCGCCTCCTCCTTAGAAAGTGGCAGGATAGCGATAGAGATGATGGCGACAATTTATAAAATAAATTGATACCATAATACATCTAGAGGTGTCTGTTTTATTTGGCATGTTCCTTCATGACTACATTTTCTTATTTATTTCACACACAATTATAAAAGAAAAGTCTCAGATCGTTAATTAATCGTCAAAACTAAATTATCGGTTCAGAAATATTTAATTTCCTGATATACTTAGTTGACAAGAGTAAAATTATAAACGAGAAGAATCGATCCGGAAATATTCCATTTCCATATCGAATAATTTCGCAACATCACTATTTAATACTTGTCATAACGTTTCAACACTGAAATTGTCAAATCTGGAATCGAATTAAATTTCCGAGTAACTATAGTAACAAATGCTTTGAACTCACTTAGATGATCGATTTCAAAATAATAAGCCTCAATGTCTTCAAGAAACATTAAATTCTCAATGACATAATTCCTATATTTATTTATTGAAGTGGTATTGTATTTGTCGACCATTTTTCGATATTTCTCCATTGATACGAAGTTCACATAGCCAATCTGAAAACATGACAGAATGCTTCTTAGGGCCTTTCAAAATGATATCACACGTTAAGGGTTTTTGACGTGACAACGTCTTAAATTAGGTTGCGGCTGGGAGTCACTTATGAAAAAGTGTAACGCTCGGTAACGTTACGATGAGTCACCGAACGAGAGAGAGGCCCGCCGAATGCCTTGCGTCTCTCTCCCACTCAACTATGATCGGTCTGCCGCGCGCGCAGCACTAGTTCATTCAATTCCTTGTTCCTATTGTGCAATTTAATTATATTCATATCAATAAATAGTACCTATGTACCTCATGTTTATAATGTGTTGTCCTGTGTAATATTGTCTGTGTGGTGTAGGTACATAAAATGATAAATAAATAAATAAATAAATAAATATTCTACCGAGAAAAAGACGTTGTCACGTAAAATCTTCGCCCGTAAAAACGACTTTACAGGCAACCATTTTTTTAAGGGGGAAACATCGTCGAATTAGTGCTCCCGTCTGGGTGAGGCGAGAGGGAGTGTCAGACTCTTACTGACTAAAAACCACCCCGTTCCTTCTCCTGAACGTCGAGCCGGAGTCCCGGTTACCCGTTAGGGTCTCGTTAAGGGGTAGGGAGGGGATTGACGAAGTGTGACATTGTGCGACAAGGGGGAGGGAGGGGATTGACGAAGTGTGACATTGTGTGACAAGGGGGATAGAGAGATCTAAACTTTGTGATGTCACATTTCAAAAACTATTAAAAAACACAAAATATTGTTTTTATATTTTGATATTAATGTTTTTTTAAAGAAATTTAAATAGAAATAAAACTGATTTCGTAACCACTGTTTTCATTCAAAAATTGTTATACCTACATACGTAATTTGGCAAAATGGGACGTCACACTGGGAGGGTCTCACAAATGTCATTAGTCGTGACAAGGACGGGGGAGGCGCAAACAATCCTGAAATTCGTGTGATATAATTTATAGATGACCCCTTATAAAAGTCAAAACAACACTACTCCAACCCAGCAATAGGATGGATGACAATATTATTTTACGGCCCGTCTGTTAGATCCTTTATTTTTTTATTTATTTAAGGACAACCAACATAGCATACACCAAAATACATGATAGGTTTTTTAACATAATATTTTAACCCTTAAAGTGACGTTGTATATTATAGTATACGTCTTAGTTTAAAAAAATATAACTTAACTTCGGAAAGGTGTATTAACATGATTTAGATAGAAATCACATTTCTGAACATTTATTTTGATATCAAAATAACACTTTACAGATAATCTGTGGTAAATTCAAACTAGTTGTCAAAAAATAACGAACACACCGAACTCAGAAATGTTTGTCACGGTAAGTTTTATTCATTTTCGTTATAATATTACTCATGGCACATTTCTAACGCATGAATCGAAAAGGTAAAGAGTTATACAAAGCATTTTGTTGCTTGAGGTACCTACAAATCGCCTATCTTGGATTATATTTACTTGTTTCTTACTATGTATGGTATACTATACAGTGCTACAAACGCTACTACTTGCCATCATTTTTATTTGTATAGCATACTATACATTGCTACAACCGCTACTATTAACCACTAATTGCATTTGTACACAATATTATACATTGCAAGTTGAAACTAACATTATTATGGTTGATTTAGTATATTAAAAGTTATATAAGTGCTTGACTTGTCATTGGGTGATGGTCTGCATCTGCATGTTGGTTTCGTTTGTTTTAGACTATCATGAACAGAAGAGCCAGACGCACATTTTCTTTGGTTCCTGCACGAAATGCTAGTTCTGATACTAGTAATGGAGCAAATAGTAGTGATGAAGCTAGAGAAAGCGAGACTTCCCCAACGCCGTCTTTAGATTCCTCATTTGAAAAGCTGAGCATTCTCGGGAGTCCTAATTCACCACCCTGTCCATCGGAGAAAGAGACCAACTCATACGCAGAAGCATCAGATAATGATACTGAACAAGAGACTTTTCAAGTTCCCCTGACACGCCGTGTTTCCTAACCCTACGCAATGCAATTATGATGCAATACCTTTGATATCTTCTGTACCATCTTTACTATCTATTCCCATCGCGACTGCCACACCTTTAGGGACATGCACCCGAAGAAAACGTACCGCTCCTTCAGTTTCCATAAATACAGTGAAAGTGTGTAGTGAAGTGATTTGACAACAAGCATGTCAGGCTTGTTAGTTGTTATGTTGATGCTTTTCTGCTTGAAAATATCAAGCACTACCGCAAGCAATGGAATAGACACGTTGAAATACAGTGTCCACAAATAGTCAAGCATTATAACCGTTACATGGGTGGTGTAGATTCAGCGGATATGCTAATATCATTATATCGAACGGGTATTAAGTCTCACAGATGTTACACGAACATATTTTTGCAGTTTTTAGATACCTGCGTAAATAATGCTTAGCTGTTACGCCGCAGACATGATATATAAATAAATAAAAAGAGGAAGCAAGATTGCCTAAAAGACTTTCAGTGCGAAATTTATGCTGAACTATTGAAACGAGATAGAAGTGTGGCTGTAAAAGACATTGTATCAGTACCAGAAAACAAAAAATTAGAAAACCGAAGGCAGAAAGGCCTTATGATGATGTGCGGTACGACAAATTTGATCATTGGCCTCAGTTAACCGGGTACCAGCGATGCAAATATTGAAGAGGAGGTCAAGGAAGTACAATGTGTCCTAAATGCAATGTATGTATATCTTTGTTATGTTAAGGGCAGAAACTGTTTTTTGGTGTACCACACCAAGCATTAATATTGGGTAATGTATAGTATAATATACATTGCCAATAACTTAGTATTTTCAGCGAGTGTGGCAATGTGTAGTATATTATACATAGGTTTTTCCAAAAAGCGAAAGCTTGATTATTTTTTTTTTATTTTTCTGACTTTCTTTATATGTCAAATAAACCTTTGAAACTATTTTCAGTTGTTTTTATTAGCTAAAAATATCTTGCGACTTTAAGGGTCACTCTATAGTGTAGCCTTAATTAAAGGCTGCCACGACATGCATTATAAAAGAACAGGATATTACAAAAAAAAAAAAAAAAAAAAGTTCGCTTATCAAAAAATCAATTTCAATCACAATTGTTAAATTTAAATTTTTACTTCTTTTTAATTTTGAAACTGTAAAATTTTGATTTGAATATGTAGTGCATATAGTGCAGTTTAACTCTGTGAGAATGTCCTACGCAGGATAGTTTGCACTTTGAAAAGAGAATAGGACATGTCAATATCCACACTAAGTGAGCATGACAGGCGACTAAATTGTTCTTGCATTCTATTACCTCTATATTATTTATTATTTATTTTATTTTCAGCCATGATCGTCCCACTGCAGGGCAAAGGCCTCCCTTCCTTCCTTCCTCCTTGCATTCTATTAATTGAGGAAAACTGACCCAGGCTTGTTTTAAAGCCTTTAAAAGCCTTTAAAAACATTAGACACGCATTTCTTATTTTCTTACGTAAACGAATAGTTTCGAAGATATAGTGATTTGAAACATCGCATGACATCACTTTTGAATACGAAAAACGAAACGATTACGGTCTCACAAATGTGACTAGGTGTGACAAGGACGGGGGATGGTGGTGATAACAAATATGTAAGTATTATTTGTTCGTACGTACCTCATACGCTGCAGTATTTATATTGTCCTGTTTAATAAATTCTACAGAATCGATAATTCGATAAGAGCTCTGTACGCAGGCGTTGAGCATTGACGTTAGACGGTAGTTGAGGCTCAAAGCATTCGGGATCTTCCAATCTATGTAAACACGAAATTTTAGGTCACAATTTATTCATTGTACAACTACCGTGTGGTATTAAATAAATTAACGAATTAATTAATCAATGAATCAATTAATAAATAAATACATATATAAATAAATAAATCATGATTTTTTTTAAGGGGGAAAATCATCGAATGACTGCTCCCGCCTGGGTGAGGCGGGAGGGAGTGTCAGACTCTTACTGACTAAAAACCACCCCGTTCCTTCTCACGCACGTCGAGTCGGAGCCCCGGTAACCCGTTAGGTTCTCCGCGACTCTGAATCCGCATCGGCACTGTTGGGCCCCATCTGTGGTGGTCTGATGGCTCGCGCTTACGGTGGCCGGAGATGGTCCCGCGATTCCCGACGCCCGGTGTGTCCTTCGCGATAGCTAGATTGCAAGGAGGCAGCGCATCGCTGCCTCATGCGTCCCGCCTCCTCCTTAGCTAGCATAACTGCTTTGCAAAAAGGAGGAGACGGCATCTCAGTCCCCGTCGCTTCGCATCATGACCCGCACTAGAGTTCCCCATCGCCGATCACTTCCCTGAGGGCAAAACGCCGGCGCGGCGGTGCTCAGCCCATGCACTCATTTCACTACAGTGTGTTCCACCGTGTCCTCACTCCTCAGGGAAATAAATCATGACTGCCTCATTGGCCGAGTGGTCGCATGTGCGAATGCCGGGCAAGGGGTGTCGGGTTCGATTCCCGGGTCGGGCAGAGTATTACTGGGTTTTAAAATAATCCTCAGTAATAGCATGGAGTCTAGAATTGTGCCCGTTATATGGCAATAGGTTCACCCTCTATTACATGGGACTCGTAACATAAATAGTGAAAAGTGGGTGTTATACTCTACAGTGGCATTAAGTGCCGAAATGTGCACGTATGCCTACCCTTTCGGGGATAGAAGGCGTGATGTTATGTTTGTAAATAAATAAATTATCGCTCTTTATTCTACTGATAACAATCTTAGAAACATGATGTCGTGGTGGCCCGGAGGTTGAAGACGCCCGCTTCTCATGCACGAGGGTGCAGGTTCGAAAATTAACAACGGCAAGTACCAATGTGACTTTTTCCGAGTCATATGTATTTTCTAAGATTATTTAGACACCACTGACAAACGGTGAAGGAAAACATCGTGAGGAAACCTGGGCTTATAATTTCTAATTATAAGTTTGAAATCGCCAACCCGCATTGAGCAAGCGTGGTGGTTAATGCTCTAACCTTCTCCGTGTGAGAAGAGGCTTTGCTCAGCAATGGGCATTTATTATTGTTGATGATAATAACAACATTTACACTAATGATCAAGTAAAAATACAGGCATAATTTTAACTAGTCTTAAATTAGTTGCTTGCAATTGATTTTAGTAAATCAAAATTTTATATGTGCGTGCGTGCTTGCGTGTGTGTGCGTGCGTGCGTGCGTGTGTGTGTGTGTGTGTGTGTGTGTGTGTGTGAGAGAGAGAGAGAGAGTGTGTCAGTAAGAGAGAGAGAAAGAGTGCGTAAGTAGGGAGTTATCGCAACCGCAGCGGCTGTGGCACCGCAGTTAACTGCGGTATCGTGGGTTTTGAAAATATATCTCCATTCTGCTACCGCGGCGGCTTTGTCCAACATGCAATGAAATGGAGCAGCTGGCTAAGAGAATGTCTCATTTCCCATAAAAATAGGTAGCAATCGCTCCGGAGTAGCTTTTTTTTTTTTTTTTTATGGAATAGGAGGCAAACGAGCAGACGGATCACCTGATGGTAAGCAATCAGCGCCGCCCATGGACACCCGCAACACCAGAAGAGTCACAGGTGCGTTGCCGGCCCTTTAAAAAGGAGTACGCTCTTCTCTTGAAGGTTTGAAGGTCGTATCGGTTCGGAAATACCGCCGACGACAGATCATTCCACAGTTTTGCTGTGCGAGGCAGGAAGCTACGT